GCCACCCGTTTCAGCAGCTCCACCAGGCCTGGGGGCAGCCAGGGTCAGGAGCCCACCCTGCCGACCCACTGGCCCACCACAGTCCCCAGTCTTAGGGCCACAGCTTCCTGACCCTAGCACCAAAGCCCCCACCCCCAGTGGCTCCCAGTCCCCGCCTCACTCGGACCTCTGAGGACCCTCTGAGGTTCCCAGCCCACCATGACCCCAGTGTACCTTCAATGTCACAGGTCTGCCGCTTCCCAGTGGCACTAGTAGACCCCTCCGCCAGCGCACTGGGTGGCCGTGGAGGAGGGTGGGCGGCCTTGTCCTGAGTTCTAGGCCGAGAGCCCTGTGAGGACATGGGGTCAGAGCCACACCCAGGAGCCGGGAGCCGGCAGCTGCGGTGGAGGCGCCTTGCCTCTCCCTCACCTGACTTCGGCAGGGAGGTGGGTCGAGGACTTCAGGGATCCTCACACCTGCGGCAGAGAGCGTCCATGTTCATGCTGGCCTCGCACCTGGACCCCCTTCTTTCTGGTCTAGCGCTGCCCCCAGAGGGCAAGCCCCAGGGTGATCGTCCCCCACCTGGAAGCCTGTCCAAAACCAGTCTCTGGGCCGCCACTGAGCTCACTAGCTTCTCCAGATCCAGCGGCTGCTTCTCGCCTGGCTGAGGAGAGAGGTCAGCAGCCAGGGCCAGGCCGGCGCTCGCTGCCAGCTCACCTGCCGCTCACCAGGCCTGTGCTCCCTGCCCGCTCTGCGAGGCCGCCCACTCACCCGGTGTAGCGCCACCTGTTGAGGGCTCAGGCCGTGTTTCGCCAGGATGGGCTGCAGCGCCTCCTGCAGCCGCTTGGTGGGCTTGGCGGAGATCCGCACCACACGTTCCAGCGACGCCAGCTCCAGCCTGCACGGGACCCTGGGGCTGCGGAGGGGCGCAGAGCCGGCCCCACTTCCCCCCAACACTCCCAGGACTAGAGGGGGCGGATCTTGAACCCAGGAGGGCGGGTCTGGCTTGGAGCAGGCTTTAGTCCAGGGAACCAGGCTAGCACCGGGTATTGGGACCCAGGACCCAGTCTGGTGGGACAGGACACTTACTCGAAGGTGATCCTGGTCTCCAGCCGCACTTCCTGGTCCGCCAGCACGGTGCAGTCCTGATCCAGGACTAGGGCCTTCTGTGGATGCAGAAGAGGCTAAGAGTCCTCTCTCCCACCCGAGCCATCCCCAGCGTCTGAGAATGGTTTTCTCTCTTTCTCCTGTGGCCACTGTTCCGGGTCCCTGGGGGTCAGGGTGGGTCAGAGGGTTGTAGGGGAGCATACGGGATAAGGGACCAGGCTGGGGTCTGAACCATTAAGGCAGAAGAGTGGCAAGAATGTTGGGGGGTGGGGGGTGGGGACCAGTAGATTGTTTAGCGTTAAGTCTCTGGAATCCCACATGGCCCATGGCTATGCGGGTCATGGACCCAGTAGCTTAAAAAACACTCCAGATGCATGTACACGTGTGTGTGCACCAAAGATCCCAGTGTGCGCATGTATGCCAAAGATCCCAGTGTGTGCGTGTGCCAAAGATCCCAGGAGGGGAATGGAGGAGGAAGAGCTGTGATGTGGCCATCACCCTGGGGAACGATTTCTCACTTTCCATCTCACTGTCCCTGTCTCTCTCTCTGTAGAACACACGGGCCCCAAAGCAAAAACCTTTTAAAAAAGCAAAGAAAATTAAAAAAAAAAAAAAAAGAATGGTGGGCGGAGCTTGGAGAGAATCAGTTGCAGGCAGCCGGGGTGTGGTTGCTCCGGCAGGGGCAGGCTCTGGCCCCAGCTCACTGGCCTGCCCTGGCGAGCCCAGTCGGGGGTCTCCTGGACTGCGGCCTGTAGTGTCGCATCAGGCCAGCTGAGGCATTTCCTCCCCCAGTGGAGGCCAGACACCCAGGCCTGTCACTTTTTGACATGTGTCCAGTTCTCTCCACCCCCCCCAAGGACGCTCTGGAAAGGGCCAGTCCTGAGGCTGATGCGAGGCTAAAGGGTGCAAAGCGTTGGCACAGGCTGGCACGTGGGTGGTAGGAAACGGTGACTGTGCTGACCCCGCCTAGAGGCCCCACTGCCCAGGAACAGGAGTGATGGGGCAGCCATCACTGACAGGTGGAGTGTGGCTGGTGGTGTCCTAGTAGGGACCCCAAGGCCCATGCACGCTGCTGGCAGCCACCCTGGTCCTGGAAGAGTGGCTAGGGGCCTTCTGCTCTTGCTCTCTGCTCCTAGTTCCAGCCCTTGCAAGTCCCCACACGCCCCGACGGGCCCCCTCCAGGCCTTCGCTTTAGCTCTTCCCTCTGCCAGAATTCCCTCACCCCCACCCATCCTCATCAACTGTGCCTCTTCCATGAAGCCTTTCAGACCCCAACCAGGAATGCACACTTCCTCTTGAGAGACGCTCTGGAGGTCTGACTCCCTGATCACATCCTGCCTGGCTCACCTCCAACCTACAGGCCTGGGGACCAGCCCAGGCTACCTAGCAGTTGGCTTGAGTCCAGGGGACATGGAATGGAGCTGGGGTCAGGGTCAGGAAGAGGGCCAGAGCTGGGGCCCGGTCGGGATCACACCTGCTCGTTGCCCACCAGGTAGACCTTGATGTCGGGTAGGGAGAGGCCTCGTTTCTCACAGATGCCTGCCAGCATGTCTCGGATGGTGAGGCCGGGCCGGGCCAGGGCCAAGGAGGCTGTGCCGTCCGGCAGGTACACGCAGCAGTACTTCCCCGGCCGGCTCTCGCTCTCGGCCTCTGTGCTCCCAAGGCTCCTCCGGTGGCTCTGGCTCTGGACAGGGATGGGAGGGTTGTGTACGAGCAAGAGCACACACACAGGGCACACGTGCAGATGTAAGGGCACCGTGTCCCACAGAAACACGTGTGTGCACACCCAGGCATAGGGAAGCCCAGAGACGGGTCACCCACCGATGCCACCACGCTGGCAACTGCGCACCGCACATGTGCCAACTGAGCATGCGCACAATGACACAGAGGACCCGCGGGAAGAGGACAGAGGGCGAAGAGGCTGGGGGCCGGCCCTGTGAGCTCGCCAGGAGGTGATGACACAGGAAGTGTGACTGGGAATGACAGTGACTGCAGCTGGGGCCTGGGTGGTGACCCTAGCCTGAAACACCCGCCCCCAGCGTGGGCTCACCTCCGACTTGCTGCTCACGAAGGCAAGGAAGCCGAGGTCCAGGCTGGCGGAGGAGTTGAGGGAACCCTGAGAGTCTCGCCTCAAGGCAGAGCTTGCGGGGCCGGCCAGCTCTGGGGAGAGGGGACAGTGAGAGAGCAGGAGCGGCCCTCCTTTCCTGGACGCGGCTCTCTCCTTCCCTCTTCCCCATCAGCCAGACCTCTTTCGGAGCCGCCTGCAGGGACCCAGTGTGGCTTCTCTGGGAGCGTCACTACTGTGGGGGCTTCCCAGACTTCCGGGGTGTAGCTGGGAAGAGGCTCCCAGGGGAAAGGAGTGGTCACAACGACCTGTATTTTGGTTTGCACAGACTAGCAGACCACCTGTGGGCCTCGGAGGAAGTGGAGGCGGCGTTCCCAAGGCTAGCCCGACTCTCCCCGCACCCTCCCGCCCCTGAGGCCGGCTGTGCCCTCACCCCTGCGGAAGGACTTGCGGAGCGGGCGGCCCCCAGGACCCTCAGCAGGCGGCAGCTGCCCCAACTCCTCCACGCCCAGCAAAAAAAAGCCTCAGCGTCGGCTTCTGCGGGTACAGGGAGGGCGCAGGTGCGGGGCTGGGCCCTGGCCGGCACGCAGACCGTGCGCACGCCCTGCGCTCCTCTGCGCCCGCCCGCGGGGTCCCCGGTGCAAGCACCCAGCAGGGACCCTGGCTCCTCCCACCGCCCCTCGTCCGCACCTTCCTCGCGGTGTCCGGGCTGCCAAGGCGCGAGGACCCAGGTTCCCGCAGGGGGCGCCCCTCGGCCTCTGCCAGGAGGCACTCGCGGTACAGCGGGGACTTGACGAAGCGCGCGTAGCTGTCGAACTTCATTAAATTGAAGATCTGCTGGGTGACCCACAGGCGCTGAGCCGGGGTGGGGGGACAGGCTGGGGCGGGGCTGCCCGCCGCCCACCTGGGGAAGGATTCCCCTCACGCCACCCCAACCTCGGTTCCAGACGCAGGGTCTCCCTCCAGGATCCAGCCCCGCCCCTACTCTTGGCGGGACCCCACCCCCGCACTCCCACCCCTCCCCGCCCGGTACAGTCAGGCTCCGCTCCCAGCAGGTCCTTCACGCCAGCTTTTGTACCGCCCTCTGACCCCAGCCCTGTCCCTGCATTTTGCGTCCCGGAGTCCAAATTCGCCCCCGTTTCCCGCTCAAGCTCCGCCCCTGGGTTTGACCCCGCCCCTGCCACGCGCTCCCTTTCGAGGCCACGCCCACCCGCCGGGACCGCTCACCTGAAGCTGCTGTTCCCGAAACATGTCCGGCCGCGGCTCGGCCAGCACGTCCTCGCCCAGCCAGGCTTGCCGGTCAATGTTCACCGGGCTCAGCGCCTGGCTGGACAGGAACTCCTGGTAGATGCTGCGCGCCTCCTGAGCGAGCTGGGGGAAGAGGCGCGGGAAGTCAAGGGCACCGCCCAGGCCCAGCTCCTCCTCCGCCCCACCTGCGGCGCCCCAGGCCCTGCCCCTCCTCCGCCCCACCTGCTGCGTGTCGCTGGCCGGGATCTGCTGGAAGCGCTCACAGGCCTTCCAAAAAGTCACGTTCTCCGCGCTGAACTCCTTCTTCAAGAACTCCTGGAAGAGGGAGAAGAGGAGACAGAGACAGGCTGACTCAGGGAATATGGTGGGAGACTGGGACAGTGACAGGGCCAAGAGCCAAACCAGACAGATCTGACCAGAGTGACAGATGGAGACACCCAGAGAGGTTGGCCCAGTGGTAAAGGGAGAGCCACAGCTGGGAGAAGACAGAGGGTGCCAAAGGGCTGGGGGGAGCTGGCAGAAGACCCCCTCTGGCCAGCCCGCTCCATCCTGCCCTCTCCATGCTGCCTTGCCCCTCCCCCCCACAGTGGTCTCTGCCACCGACACCACCCCAGAGCTTACAGTGAAGTAAGCCAGGCCCAGCGGGTCCTGCAGCAGCCGCTCGAAGGACAGGGCCCAGCTGGCCACAGGCTGCTCCTCGGTGGGGAAGGGACTGCTGGGGCCACTGGGTAGGCTGTGGACGCTGAGGGAGCTGCCGCGGCCCTCTCCCTGGCCCTGGGGCCCTGCCGTGCTGCTCAGCTCTGCGGGGGAGACAAGTGGGATGAGCCATCCACTCTGCAGGTACATTCCCCGGAAATGCAGCAACTGTGGGGTGTCCCACCCATCCCCACCCCAGCCAGGCCTCCTCTGCACTTTGTCACTTACCTCCATCTGAGACAGCCAGTACCTGCAAGAGACCCACGATAGAAAGTCAGAGTGCAGCTAGAGAGGTCCCCTGAGGCCCGCTCCGGGCCGCTCCGGCCCGCTCCGGAGCCGGAACTCCTCTGGAGAGCCTTGCCGCGTGTCCCCTCACTGCTGCTTGCCCAGGATGCCTTTCCTTCCCGCACCAGCCCCTTTGTGCTGGGCGCTCTGGTCTCCCCTGCCCTCCCCTGCCCTCCCCTGCCCTCCCCTGTCGCGCGATGGGATGACGATGTAGCTTCCTCCCTGGGCTGTTTCATATATACATATACACACACACACACACTTCAATTTTTAAAAAATTTGCCAGAGTGTACATGCATTCTCCAGAGAGAGAGAGAAAGAGAGAAAGCACTCCCGGGGGGATGGCCATTCTACAATCCCTTGTCCTGTCAGGGTTTGGGGCATGCTTGCACACGTGCCTAGCATGTTTTTCAAGCTGCCAAGTCTGAGACTCGAACAGTGCAGTTGACCATGTGGGATCCAGGCGCTTTAACCACCACACCACCTGCTGGCCCTGGGTTGATATCCAGCATATAGAACAGTGGCCAGCGTGTGGCAGGGGCCCTAGCAATGCTTGCCGTTGTCTTGGAGGAAGGAGAGATGTCTCTAGCCAAAGCTCTCCTTACTGCCACTGTTTCTCCTTGGGGCCTGGGGACCCCTGCAGGGTGGGACACAGGACTCTGTGTGTGGGTAATGCAGTGGCTGTCACCCTGCTAAATGCCAAGGTTGACAGCCACAGATTTGGATGGATAGACCGAGGATGGGGTCTGTAGCTCTGCGTTTGGCATGTTCCCAGCAATGCTGATGCCATTGGTCCAGGGGCCACTCTGGGTGCAGCTCCCACCCATTGCTAGAGAGGCCAGTTGCCCCCCACACCACAATGCCCACTCGGACTTCTCAGAATCCTGGTCGTAGTGAAGCCGAAAACTGTCCTCTCCAAATGACCATGGCCATGGGCCCCGTGGTTTCTTCCTGCCTCCCCGGCAGCCCCCCCAGCTTCCTCATGCTCTTCTGCCCATGCACAGTGGCCTCTACCCCTCTCTGGCATTTGTCCTAGTCCCCCTGCAGATGCCCTAGCTCCAAACACGCAGAAGTCCCCGGGGCACAGAGCAGCTCCGGCCTGCAGCTATGTACGTATTTCTATCTTGTCCCTCAGAGTTGAAGGGGCTTAAAGGGATTTCCCATACTAAAAAAGCAAGAGCTTGAATGTAAACCCCAGCTCCCTGCTCCTCTTTTGACATGGCGCTCCAGCTCTCCCGAGTTTCTTCCTAGCCCGGCAGCCTCGGCAAGCACCAAGCGGGCCCTCTGGGAGCTCACACTGCCACGGGCCCTCTGGGGCCGGCTGAGGTATTTATGTTCCTCCCAGAGGCAGGCTCAAGTTTGGGGGCTCAAATTTGTGCTGTGTGACCCTAGACAAGGTACTTAATATCTTTGTGCCTCAGTTTCTTCCTTTCTAAAAATGGGGCTGATAACAGTCGTGACTTCAAAGAGCTGCGGTAAGGGAGGCTGGGCATGGTGGCGTGCGCCTCGAATCCTGCTGGCTGGGAGGCTGCCAAGCGGTGAGTGAGACACTGTCAAGGACCTCTCTCTCTTATAAAAATAGAAAAGGAGGAAGTCAGGCCAGCCCATGGCCTGGTGGTTAAGGCTGCCTGCATGTTCAAATCCTGGACTAGCGGCTTGTAAAGCACAGCAGGTGTCGTGTGCATGTGCGTGTGTGTGCGCGCGTGTGCTAGCAGGTGTTGTGTGCATGTGCGTGTGTGTGCGCGTGTGCCCAAAACCCTGACAGGAGGAAGAAATGGAGAGCGATTGAACATGCCTCATGGGGGCGCTCTTGCACTGTCCTCTTTCTCTCTCTGACCAGTACATACCCTCTCTGGCAAATTAAAAGCCAACAAAGAAAACAGCAGAAGGTGTGGTGGGAAAGCAAGGGGACCGTGAGGGAGAGATCCACGTGGGAAAGGTCTAGGCCTTCCAAACCCCACTTGTTTTATCACTGGGCACCCCTGGTACCACACACCTGCCTGGGACCCGGCCGGGACGCTGGGGGTGGGCAACTCGTGGAGATCTCGTTGGGGGCGGCTGCCTCTCTCTTGTGGAAGTAATAAACTTAAAAAAATTTATGTAATTAAATTAATTATTATTTTAAATTAGCTACAGGACACATGCGCTTACCAGAGAGAGAGAGGGAGAGAGGGAAAGTGAGACAGCAAGCTGCCAGGTGCAAGGCTGAGCCCGGCTGGACAGGTGAGAGTGTAGTGCCTTAACCACCATGCCACCTGCTGGCCCCAGAAATCGGCCTTTCAGAAAGGATTCGGCGCAGTAGCTGGCACGTGCTAAGTGTTCCCGGAATGTTACAACTAAAACCGTTGTGTCTTATTGGCACCTGACCCTGCTAGGTGCGGAGTTTGGAGAGGCGCTGGGGCCGGCCCGCAGGTGCAGCGGCAGATGGCCGGCACGGGTGTGTGGGGTCTGTGAGACAGGAGGCAAGTCCCAGCCCTGCCTTGTGCTAGCTTCACAACCTTGAGCCCTGCCTGAGCCTGGTCTCCCCTCCAGCCCAGGGGCGTAGACCCGCCCCGCCCCCCCCCTGTGCACTCCCCAGGCGATGACAGCATGAGTCCTCGCCCCAGTGTCAGCACCTCCCTACGCAGGACCCTGTCAGCTCCGGGGGTGGCTGCCAGCGGGGAGGGAGGGTGGAAGCCCACCCCGACCTGAACCGGCCTCCAGCCCCGCTCCAGCCTCTCCACCTGCGCTTTTCTGTCCTGTGTGCGCTTCAGCCCCTCGGCACTGCCCGAACCCTGCCTCAGCTCTTCCTCCTGTGCCCCCATGCCCCTGCAGCTCTCCAGTAATCATCTTGACTTGGCCTGCCCTGCTGCCACCCACCAGCCTCCTCTCTGTCCCCACTCCCCAGTCAGCTTCTCCCTGGCTCAGAAGGCTCCATGGCTCTGGGGCAGGCCAGGAGCCTGAAGGTGCCAGATGGTGCTGGCTGAGGCCGGCCCACAACTGGAGTTCATCTGGCTTTACTTTCTAATTTGTGTTTAATCGCATGTCCCTTGTGGTAGGCAGGGCTGGCTCCTAGGAACTCTCCAGGTTCACCCTGTGCCCAGTGGGCCATTGCGATTCCCCCACACATGCTCTGCAGTCGCCAGGTTACAGCTCAAACCCCGCCTGGGCCAACAATGAACCCTCCAACCTCACCGCCCACTTATCGCACTTTGCTGTCTCCCTCGCCCCTGCACACGTGCCCGCTGACTGCTGGCTTAGCATTCTGTTCCCGCCGCGCAATCTCTGCCCACTGGTAATAGCCACCCCCAAACGCCGGCCCTGAACCCCCATCCCCACCCTCCATGTCTGGGCTTCTCTCCCTGCTGATCTAGTAGCTCCTGGAAGGTGGGCCTGGTTGGTGGGTAGGAACTGACCTGAACCCCCATCCTGGAGAAGGGCTGTCCCGATCCCAGAGCCCCCAGGCAGCCGTCGGGGCCCTGGGCCTTCCCCAAAGTGCTCGGCCCCTGAGTGCTCATGGGCTGCACCTGCTGTCCTCCACCCAGCCGCTATTGTCCCACTGGCCATCGACAGCACGGCCGGGTGTGAACTGGCGTAGGGACAGAAAGCCAGAGACTGGAGGAGCAGAGATGGGGCCCAGTCCCAGAGCTACCACTTGAGGGCAAGCAGCTTCTTTCGCCTGAGGCTCAGTTTCCCCCTTAGCATGGGGTTCAGCATCCCCAATCTTCTGGGACTGATGCGAAGTTTGAACAAAGCCGTGTGAGTGGAACGGGAAACACCATGGCCATAGTGGTGTCCTACGGTGGAGCGGGCGCAGGTGCCGCTGGCTGGGCCCTGGCTTGCCCGCGCTGCCAGGCCTGGGGAAGTTGGGCTGAGCGGGGCTGCCCCTGGCGGGTGGATGGGCAAAGGGGAGGAAGGGTGATGGTGACGTGGTGGCCCGTGACCCCCCGGCCCGTGGTCGGCCTCAACTTGCCATAGTTGTCCTCAGGAAATGGGGCTCAGGGGAGCCAGTACCTGAAATGCCGAGGGCAGGATGAGGCCCCAGTTCCTGCAGCCCAACCATGAGCAGGACCTCGAGCACCTCGCCTCTCACTCCAGTTCTTCCCTGCAGCAGGCAGAGCCCCCCACTCTCCTGCCTCCTGCTTCCCCAGACCTGGTCCCATCTCTTCTTCCCATTTAACAGATGAGGAAACCTGGGGACTAGCAGTTAGCATAATGGCTATATCCCTGGACTCCCACGTAATCGACCATGGTTCCAGTCCCGGACCCGGTGGCTTAAGCTCACACAGGGTGTGTGTGCGTGCGTGCCCAAGATCCCGAGAAGAGAATGGAGGAGAAGGGATTGTGGTATGGTCATCCCCCCAGGGGTGATTTCTCACTTTCTATCTCTGTCTTTCCAGTGAGTGCACATGCCCTGTAGCAACAAACCTCTCAAAAAACAAAAACAAAAACAAAACAGATGAGGAAACCGAGACCCAAAGAAATCATGCAACTTGCAAGCAGCGGGACTGAGATTAAAGCCTAAGCTTTCCTGACTCTGGAGCCTGCGGACTCCCCGTCCTCACCTGCGCTGCCGGCCTCGGTGGGAGGAGGGCACACCGCAGGCTCTTGGAGGCCTAGTGCCTCTGCCCCTGAGACACAACTGGGCAAAGTCGACCAGGGCCAAGGGGCCCAGGGGCTCCTCTCGAATCGTGCCCGAGGGAGGGGTCAGAGCTTGAGGGGTGCCGCTTCCTGGGTACCCTCTCTGCTGGGCACCCTGTGCTACCTCCTCCCTTCATCCTAGCTGGAGGAAACTGCGGCTGCAAGGCCCTCCCTGGAGGTGCCCTCGCAGAACCTGGCTGTCCAACCTTCAACTCCAACCAGCTCGCAGGGGTGACCCCAGCCTCACCCAGCACTGCCCTTGAGGACCTGCCCCTGAGCTAGACACCAGAGCACAGAGGGGGCACGGGCTTCGCCCACGTGTCTCCATGCCAAGACAGAAGAGCAGACAGGCCCTGGGTAGTGACAGAAGAGGTCACGACCTGTCCCCATGCTGACCTCGGGGCCTCGCCTGGACTGTGTCCCTGGTCACATACCCAGTGGTTTCCCACGAGCAGGCCTCACCACGCTAGTCCCTCTCCCAGCTGGCATGTCCTCACGGAGCTGTCTTCTGCCCCACGGAGCCTGCAGCTCACAGAGGCCCGCACCCTCGCTGGCCCGCAGGTGTGCTCCAGCCCTGAGCGCTGCACTTCGTCCCGCCACTTTCCCGCGACTTTGTGCCTCGCTGGCTGGGAGCTGCTGAGGGCAGGTGCGAGGCTGAGGGCCTGGGTCTTGAGTGCCAGGGATGACACGGCAGTGCAGAGCAGACCCCCCAGGAGGCTTGCTAAATGAGTGAGTGACAGAGCGGACGGAGTGACAGCTGGGCTGTGCGGAGATGTCTCTGGGAGGGGCTGGGAGCCAGCTCCAAGTGACAGGCTTCATTGCGACCGCCTGACAAGCTGAGTGGCATCAGGGAGAGGCTGACAACTGATGTTCCTCAGCGGGGAAGGGGGGTGCAGAGTCAGGCGGCGTAGGGTGCAGGTGGGACGGGTGTTCAGATGCTGACCCGGCTGCTTGCAGGTGACCTGGGCACATCGTCTGCACTCCTGAGACTCCCGTAGCAGGAAACTCATGGCAGAAATCAGGCACCTGGCCCACGGGCTCTCCGTCCTCATCCCTGCCAGATGCCAAGGCCACTCCACTGCCCTGGCCTTGGCCACCCAGGGGCTCAGAAAGCTGCCCAGTGACCAGCCAGCAGCCAGTCTGTGACCCTCCTGATTCCAAGAGGTGGCACAGAGATTTGGAAAGGGTCCAGAAAGTGAGGGGTACAGCTGGGAGTGAAGACCGCTAAGAGGGGGTTGGGGTGCCCGCGGGCTCCGTGGGACCCAGGACGGAATCTGGCACTCTCCTCCTCTGAATGACTTCGGACTAGAGAAACCGGGGGCTGGCAGGGGACAGAGGCTGGGTCTCTGCAGGCTCCCTCACCTGCCCTGCAGTTCTGGGCACTGTTCCAGAACCATCGATCGGCCACCCTCCCCAGGCTGGCCTGGTGCCCCCGGGCCGGGGAGAGCTGGGGGCACGCCTCTGGGTCGGGAGCACGAGGCCGATGGGTCCTTCCCGACCTGCCACCGTTGGGCTAGTGATGGAGAGCGGGACGGGGGTGGAGGCGCTTCGGAGACTTCACCCACTGCGCCCCAGCTCCCCGAGGCTGGGCAATAGAGGGATGCCCAAAGAAAAGATGGACAGTCCTGGGGACCAGAGGCAGGAGGTGGGGTGGCTCAGTTTCCTGGTGAGGAGCAGGTCCTTGAAGTGGGCGGGAGCCACAGGCACTGGGTGACACTGACCCAGACCCACCAAAGGTCAAGGGCCTCATAGTCACGGCTCCACGCAGTCGTCCTAACAAGCCTTGGGACCGGTTCCAATCCTGTCGTCTTACAGATGAGAGGCCTCCCAGTGACAGACCGGGGCCGGGCCAGCGAGCAGCCCCTGGCTCTGTCCCCAGAGTGGACTGGAGCCTGGTGGGGGCCGGGACTCAGTCTTGCCTTCCTGGGTTGTTAGGGTGGGCTTGGACAGGTGGGCTGGGGCCCTCGGGAGAGAAGGGAGGCTTGGCACATTCTGCTCATCTGCTGAGTGAACGAGATGGAGCAGCGCCAGTCAGGGGCCGAGCGCCAGGGAGAGGGTGCGCAGAGGGCAGGTGCAGCCCAGGGCACCCACTCGGGTGCCCTGCCCCTCCTGCAAGCCCAGCCTAGGACAGGCAGAAGTTGCATCACCTGGCCTGAGCCTGCGGCCCTGTCCCAGGCTGGCCAGAAGGCACCAGCTCTGGCATGAAGCCTCTGGGGCAGGTCCAGCTAGAGGGCAGTGACTCAGCGAGGGCTGCCCCTAACCTGACCTTGGGCACCTGGGCCGCAGGCTGAGGACGGGAGGGCTGAGACTGGGGGAGGTGGGTGGGGGTGAGGACACCAGGCCTCCCTGCCACCCCGGGATGCAGGCAGCCCCAGAGGAGGCTGGTAGCAGCAGTGGAGGGCAGTGGGTGGACCAGAGCCCCAGCCACTCTGCTCGGCCTCACCCCCAGGGGTGCCCCAGGCTCCCAGCAGGACTGTGGAGAAAGGTCCCAGGGTGGAGGCCTGTGCCCAGCTTCTCCCACCCGCCGGCCACCCAGTGGCTCTTGCTGGCCCTGCTGGGTGTGCCTCCGGGGCTCCACCCTAGGTGTGCCCCCCCTCCCCGTGGCCCTGACCCAGAGCCCACACTCACCATGCGCCCATGGGGGACGCCCAGGTGCTTGGGTTTCCCTGGCATGCTGCCGCAGATCACAGGTGCCCGCGGGGGCCGCCCACCATGGGGACTGTGGGCCGCGCCGGCCAGAGCACACGGTGGCGGGCGGGCGGCGT